TCGCATCTGCGAGGGGCTTTGTGCCTTCTCGCCGCGTGGGAGTGCTGCTTGGGGGGCGGCAGAGCCTTTCCCCCTCGAGAAGAAAACTGCGCCAACTTTTTTGTAAAGCACAGATTCCTCAATTCCCCAGCGTCCACTCCTTGCTTTTGTCTGTGCGCCCACAGAGCCGGGCAGCGGAGTAGATGCGGAAGTGTCTAGTCACACATTTCACGCTGGTTGTATTTCACGATGTCCGGTCAATGCCCGTGGTGTGCCGTGCTATGCCGGCCCATTCCGTGACTGCTGCGGGACTAAAAGCCGCATGCTGGACGGCGAAATTTGACCGGTGGTGATCCCCTCGGGGTGCCATCGCCGGGCAACGTGCGCCTTCTCGGCAGCATGACGCCTCTGTTGCCATTCTAACGGCGGCAGTGGGACGTTGATGAATGGAAGTGTGCGTGCCACCTTGGGCACACGGTGCGCTGTTCCTCGCCGGCATTCTCCTGCGCGGCGGAGGGAGTCGCCTGCAGAGGCAAAGTCGCTGTGCGGAGTTGGCGTTCTTCCTGCTGTGTTTCGAGCTTTGTGGCGTGCGTGCATTGTGGCATCATTTTTGGTGTCGTGACATTCTCATCGTGGGGGTGCTTGTGCCGGGTGTGGGTGGCCAGCCCCCCCGGCAATGCCCGGCTGCTTGCCACGTTAAGGGCATTGAATGAGTGCCGTGGTCTTTTTTGCCGGCTGCAGCTCTGTTTTGGGGCGTTCGTGTGCGCGCATGTAAGATACTGGACTCGCTTTCGTCTCGGACCTGAATCCACAGGACGTGCATTGGGACGGGATGGATGCAGCAGGATCGTCATATTCCCGGGACGCTTTCTTCTTGACCCGGAGCAGTCGTGCTTGTGGCATTTTCGGTGACGAAGTCTGGGTCCGGCTTGTTGGTCGTACGACGCCGTGCGGAAACAGCATAAAAGTAGCTTCGGCCTGGGCTGTGCAGTCTGTGGCGGAGGTGCGGTCGGCGTGCCGTCTCTCGCCCTCGTCCTCGCTCAAGTGGTGGGTGGTGGTTCCGGCGAGATCCCTGGCCGTTCCGACTCACCGGGGAAGTTAAATTTCCGCAGCGCCTGGGAGCGCGTAATGCCACGGGCCTTAACCATGTGCATCACGACACCAGTGCGGCATCCGCGCCGCACAACAACGGCATTTGCCTGGGATAGCGGTTTGCAGTGGCCGTAGCAGCCATCCGCATTTGTGCGAAACCCCGCTGCGGAGGCGGGCCAGTGCGGCCTCTTCCCCACGAGTGAGAATGGAGTCCGTGCACGTGGGTTCCCGGTCGCCTGCTACGGTGGAGCGGTGAGCCACTGTCTTGAGCCGTCGGACACAAATAATACGTTCGGCCAATGCGACGATGCCGGTGGTCAATGTGCCTGTGAGCTGTGCGGGGTCGGATGCCTTCTCGGATTTAGCATCACAAGCTTCGTTCCTGGTCACGCCGCAGCGGCCGAAGAAGAACTGCGTCCGTGTGTGCGCTCCTCGGCGCTGCGGGCGGAGCAGGAGTTCCCAGATTCAACGAGGTATCGGGTCAGATGCTGTGAGAGAACCGGTTTTTGCAGGGCGGTGAGGAGTGAAAGGGGAATGGTTGTTTTGTGGTTCATTCCTGTCTTACCGCACGCCGCTGCTTTTTTGTTGTTGTTGTTTTATTGCTTTTTATGGTTGCCGTGTTTTTTGCACGCGAAAGGTGGAAGAGGTGGGTATCTACATAAATATATAAATAGAGAGAGGAACTGTCAGTGGTGGAGTCCTGTGAGAGGGCGGCTGGGAATGGTGGCGGCGTTAGATGAGGGCGCGTCGCGACGGTCTTGTAATCGCGCTGTGGCATCAGTGACGGCAGTAGATACGGCACTCTTTGACTCCGCACTGATTACGGGCGGACTGACAGCACGCAGGCCGCTGCCTTTTAGAGCAACGCCGCTTGTACGTTACGCAAACATGTCGTCATTAATTCAGGAACAATTAAAGCCCGACCCGCATCGTGAGGCGCGTGAGGCGCTGCATGCGCTTCAGAAGGTGCCTGTACCCCATGACGAGTTTGCCCTTATGGATGACGCTACTCTGCGTTGCATCTGTGCATTTCTCGGGAATTGTTCGAGGGAATTGTTACAGATTGGCTCCGTCTGTCGGCGCTTGCGCGAGCTTGTTATTGCACTGACCCCACCAAACGCCACTGTTGTGCCTGATATGATTCCGTTAGCTTCTCTTTCTAGTCACACCGCCGTGGACTCACTCTGCTCGTTTTTCGCCTCATACAAGAGGGGACAGCTGGTAAAACAGTTGAACCTTGTGGACTCCAAGTACGCTTCGTCGCTGCCGGTCAGTACTTCCTTGCCGTTGTGTTCCCATCATGTGTATCCCTCGCTGGTGAAGTCCCTGTTGTCGCTGATGTATCTAGACCTCCGTGGCGTTCAGTGGGACTGCAATTCCAACCCGCATATCCCGCAGTATTTCTTCAGTGATCTTTACCTTGTTGCACCGAAGCTGCAAACACTCAAGATTGGCGTGGATCTTTTCTCGCAGTGGTCTCCCGGCTGGTGGCAGCGCCTCCCTGCATTGGAGCAAATTGTGGTGGGCTCCCGGCGTGACCAGGCCGCGGTTCCAGGCAGCGAACTGCGTCCTCCATTAAATATTCACGAAGAGTTCTTTGACATGTTACGCGCCCCGCGGCGACCGTGGCGAGTGAAGTTATGGTGTCCACTGCAACTGAGCGCGCTTACCCGTCTTCTTCTCCCCGCGCAGGCATTTCCTGAGCTGCGGGAGCTGACGGTGAACCTCTCCAACATGAACGTTTTTGAGGAATTCAGGCGGCCGACGATAAAGTCGCCGCGGGAAAACCGGTCACGCAGAGGAACAAAGAACGTCACGGTGCACTCTGTAGATGAGACAGTTGGTCGGTTTGTTTTTGTCTCCTTGCAGTCGTTGACACTGGCGAACGTGGAGCAGTGTGCGTCGCTGCCGGTGGAACTTATTGCGCGTATATTGCCTTGTGCCCCGCGTCTCAGTTACTTCTCGGTGGTGAACACCGCCAGAGTGCCGCCGCCCCCGCCGCCGCCGTCAAAGTTGAGGCGGCGTGTGTGATTTGCTGCTGCGGTTGCAATTCGGAAAAGGCGGGAAAAGAAACAAAATGTACAGTTAGGAACGGAGATTGGCTTTTTTTTTTTTTTTTTTTTTTTTTTTTTTGTATCTCTGTGTCTCTGTGTGTCTGAATTTAGCGTTGCATGTCCTTTGCCCCTTCTTTTTTTTCTGCCTTCGCTTTGTGCCTGTGGGCGTAGACGCAAAAGAAAAAAAAAAAAGAAAAAGTGAAAGGAAAGTGCAAAGAACCAGCATAAAAGGACGAGGAGGGAGGGAAACAATGAGTGAGAGAACATCAACGAAAAAACCGCGGAGGCGAAACATATTGGCCGGGCATGAAAGTTGGGTTCCTTATGTTTTTTTGGATTCTATTCCTTTAAACTACTGCTGCAACTGCAGAGCTTTTTCTTTTTTTTTTTTTTTTGTTGTTGTTGTTGTTTTCTAGCAAGTCTTGCAGGGATCACTTTTGTGATAAAATTAGATTTAGTGGTTTGCTACGCCTCTGTTGTTGTGCATTGTGTCGGCGATGTTTGAGGTTCCTGTGGAGTGCTGCGAGTGTGCTGTTCCCATCGGCGACGAGGGACCTCTGCGGGCGGTGCTTCTTTTGCCGTGCCAGCACCTCCTTCACGCGGGATGTGTGGAATACGTGCGCAAGCGAAGAAAACTGCAGCAGCTGATTGCTCGAGGGGACGCGGGAGGGGTGGGTGCCGCGCTGCCAACGCCCTTTGAGCTGGGCAGCGAAAGTATTGACAAAACGACCAGCAACGGCGGTTGCAGCCGCGACAGTCGTCTTGTTGCGTGCCCGGCATGCATGGTGCCTATCCAGCGTCTTATTCCATTGTTTCCTAGTGGCGGGGATACGCGCTGTGGGTCGAAGTTCGGCGGTGGAGAGGCCGCGTCGTGCTTCAAAAAGACGCATCACGCACAGAGGAGTCACATAGCCCAGCTTCGCACGCTTTACGAGCAAAGTGAGCGAGTGACGCAGCTAACACGCACATGCGCTCTGATGCATGCGAGGCTCTCCGAGACACAGGCGGAGTTGGATCGGCTGTCAAAGACTCTCCCAATTGGGGCGCCGGCCGCACATGTGCCGCAGCTGGCGGGAGAAAGGTTGTGCGTGGAAAATATGACAGCCACGGAACTGGAGATGTACATCATGCATTCCTCGGCAACACTTGAGGAACTAGAGCGCGATGTCAGCGAGCAGAGACGAATGGCGGAGAAAAAACGGAAGAAACTGGGTCAGTTGCAGTCGCGTTATCAAGCACTGAGGGAAATGGAGAGGCGACCGCGGCATACCCACAAGAGGGAGAAGGGCGCAGACTCCAGTAGCAGCGAGTCACCTTGTCGTTCCTCGAGTCGCGGTAAACGCCCGCGTGCCCCGCCTGTCGTTGACGTGGAAGAAGAAGCCACCTCCAAGGCGCAAGCGATGATTGTTTTGTCCGATAATGGCAGCAGTGATGAAGAGGAGGAGAACCGTAGAGGTGACAAGAACAATCCTGACAACAATGTCGATGACCAAGAGGACGATGATGTCCTGTATATTGACCAGACGACCCCGCAATTCAGTAGTAGTGGCGGCAGCCGTAGCCCAGCTGCACCGGATGCTTCCTCCCACGCCTGGCGACCACATGTGAGCGCCGGTGTGAGGAGGGACAGGAGAAGTCTCGACGAGAATAACGACACAAGCAACGGAGGAAATGCCGATGCAGTTATTGACGATGCTGACGACGTCATGATGTGCTATAATCCAATGCGACGGGTGTTGACGAAACAACAGTCCGGGATTCACGCGCCGAATGCCACACGTCTCCTCCCCAGGCGCGAAGACCGGCTTTGGCAGCCCTCACTGGAAGGCATCTTGTGAAACAAATAGGCAGCAGGGATGAATAAGCGAGAGAAGGACAAAAGACATTGGAAGGGGGGGGGGGTTACCGACGTTTACTAATTCCACTGCGACGGTTTGTTTGTAACACTTATTCTCTCTTTTTGCGTTGCTTTCGTGGGTGGATGAGTCGTTCCACTCCCAATTTTGGACGCAATCTTTTTGTTGTTGTTATCTTGTGGCTTGGATGACAGTTTCCCTGTGCGCCCCATCATTTTTTCTCTGCTTCTTTTTTTGTTTGTTTGAACGGCCTGGCGAAAAGAATACAATCAGGAGACGTAGGGAGATTGTGCGTGAAGTAAGAAGGGGTAATGAATTCGTTTGTCTTGCCTCCGCTCCACTCATCCGTGAAGGGCGACATGTGGTGCTCGCGGGTGCCATTGCCGCCGCCATCGGACCTTGTGTCGACGGAGTCGGGGCCTTTGCTTCCATCCATTGACAAGTCTCGACGGCGTCAGGAGTTAAGACGGATGGAAACGAAGGCGGCGGCCCTCGAGTTAGCAGTGGAAAAGGAACGGTTGGAGCGAGTGGAGTCCAAGTTACGTAGCGTCATATGCGGGCGGGAGCACGAGAAACGCCACCAGCTTCTTTGGCACTACCAGAAGGAGAAGGCAAAGGCAGAGCGGGAGACAGCCGCGATTGAGGCGAAGTCGCTGGCATTACAACGGTCAAAATACATGCGGATTGTGCGCGAATACCAAGAGCGTGGCCATCTCCTGCATCTTGAGACAACCACACGGGCAGACATGGTAAGTGAGGAAGAAGATGCACGACGTCATGTAGCATCGCTGCGTGAACTGGTGCTGCTTGAGGAACGACGCCGACAGGTGGAACGAGAGGCGGCTACCGCAGAGTTTATCGCTAAGGACTTATGGGGGATACGTGATTGGGAGTCGCGCATTGCGGCGATGTCGTTTTATCCCACTGAAGCCTTCTCGCCCGCGGCGTGCCTTTTTCCCCGCCGTAACGTCGGCACGGGCGGTTACCGCGGAAGATCAGATCTTCTTATGGACTATGACGTCTGCGAGGAAGAGTGGAAAGTCCGGCTGGCGCTTATCTCGAAGGAACGCGTAGACCGCCATCTGCTGGAGTGGCAGCACGGCGTATTGCACTTGCAGTTTGTTGAGGAAACTCAAGCAAGAATGGCAATAGAAGAACTGTGCGTCTACGGTAGCTGTCAGGCTCGGCTGAGTGCGATAGTGCGGGTTCAGCGGTGGTGGCGCATGCTTCAACGAACCGGGTGGAATGAACGGAAAAGGCGGGAGCTTAAGAAATATGTGACCCAAAGACGAAGGCAAATGAGGTCACGTGATTACCGTGCCATCCTTGGTCGGATGAGGCGACAGATGGAGGCTGCCGCCTCCCCCATTTCATTGGAGGAAGTGCACAAGTCCATGTCGGCCATTGAACGGGCGGTAGAAATGTCGTATCAATACATATTTGATTATTTTGTTTACACATTGATGAATCGTGCGTCAAACCTGCAGGAAACGGAGGCACAAAATCTCCGTGACTACCCACTGGAAAAGGACGATGGCACAGCGATCATCCCGCCCGTTTTAAAGCTTCTACATGTGCCGTATCGCCTGTATGTGCGCCAACAACCACTGCAGCCATATCCACTATGGCGCGCAGTGCGGTGGATAGAGGGGTCCTACTCGTTCATCCAACAGGTGCGGCTTTTTGAAGAGGCCGAGTCGCAATCGAGGGACTCCATTTGCGCACAGGAGGAGAAGGAACTGGGGACACTGCAGATATATCACGCAGTGATGAAGAATGGGGCTTGGGCCTGGCGTTCCTTTTACACCGCGATCCTCTGTATTGAGGAAGAGGAAACTGTGGGTCGTGACCTCTTGCAGACGTGGGAAAAAAATGTTCGTGGCGCTATTGTGGATGAGGCGGAGGCGTCCATGTCAAGGTGCATCGTGTCGGAGGAAAAGTTGCGGGTGCTGGATGACGAGGCACGAGTGCGAATTGAAATTGTCGCGGAAGAGTCGGAGGTATTTGCACGCCTGACGGAGGGAGAATGGCGTTGGGACAATCTCCTGCGGCTGCGCAGAGAACTGTGGAGGCCGGGCTTCGGCAAGTCACGATGGGGAATGGAATGGAGTCACGGCATGGGTCGCAAGTTTGACTCGCTGGACGCAGCGGTGCGAATCATTCAACGCTTCTTTTGCAGGGCGTCCAATCGCCAACATCGCTCAGAGAAGGCGCAACAGGCCATGAGTTTGTCGCAGGAGATGCAACTTAAGAAGATATCTGCCGACATGGTGAAGACGCTGGAGGCGCAGCATTGTGAGGAAAATAAAGAAGAAGAGTTGCGGGCCGCATCCAGTGTGCACGTTGAGGAATCTGATGGCATCGTAGAGTCTCACCTTGAAATGACGGTGGATTCTTTCCGTGATTGGTTTGATTTAAGCGCCCAGAGGCCGATGGAGGAAAATTACAAGGAGATCGTTTCACGGTTTCTTCAGGAAAACAGAAGACTATACATGTACATGCATATTTTGTTTGCAGTTGTGCGTAACGGGCGTCAGCGGATTGAGGAAGAGGAAGCGAGGGAGTACAGTGCAATGCAATGCACTCATGCATTTGTTGCCATTGCAATTGACGCGCTTTACAGAGAGGAGACGGCGCGGCGCCAAAATCTCGAGAGTGACGCGAGGGAGGAAAGTTCCCGGTGGCATGAGCGTGCCGGATTTCTTGCCGCCCTGGCAAAGTACACCGCCACCACGAAGAAGAGGATTAAAAAGAGCGCGCATCCACCGTGCATGAACCACATGGAACGACTTTTGAGCCGCGAGGATGTGGTTCGGACAAGGCGTCTTGTGGAGGAACGGCGTGACCGTAGCGACATATTGCTTTCCCTTCATGCCATTGTATACGGTGCCACTATGCGGGAAGAGCAGCAGGAGAGGTCGGTGCTGCACGAACACATTGACGAATGCTGGAGCGCCCACTCTCCTTTTACACTGCTGGCAAAAGCGGAGGAAGTAGCGAGGCGCAAGGTGGAGGTGGAGGCGTACAGTGGCTATGGCCCATTGCTTGATTGTGAGTGTGCCAACTACGGCCAGAAGACACTTTTCCGGCAGTTCCTTCGCGGGCATTTGAGTTTTGAAAGTGAGGCACGTTACTTTGACAAACAACTGACAGAGTTGCTTTTGCAGCGCGTATCGCTTCTCCGCAGCAAAATTGACGAACTGGTGGCTGCAGAGATGTGCGCCCGTGCGCGAGTTGAGTACTTTGAAGAAATACACCGTGTTTTATATCTATGCACGGATGATGTTTTGTGATTTAGATACGTATATGTATACAAGAAGCAACGAAACAAACAAAAAAAGCAACAGAAGCCCTTAAAAGAAGAAAGAAAAAAAAAAAAAAAAAGGTTTTCATTTGGATATGTATATGTATATTTATGTTGCATACCCACCACGCAAGCAATTTTTTACCCCGTTTTTTTTTTTTTTTTTTTTTTTTTTTCTCTTTCTTCTGCACAAATACGGGGGGACTTTGCGTTGCAAGGCAGACTGTGTTCTTGTTTATTGTTGTTATTTTTTCTCAGTCTCTCTTTATATTTGTATTGTTTTTAGCCTCGTTTCTTTTTTCTTTTCTTTTTTTTTTTTTTGTTGTTGTTGTTGTTTTCCCTTCCTTCCGAGGGCAGTTTCTCCACGTTTGTCCAGTCTTTTTTTTTTTGTTTGTTTGTTTTTTTGTCGCAGTGAAGGTCCGGATTTATATATCTTTTTGTTGTTGTTTTTAAATGGAGGAGTTTGATGGTACCATCGGCATCGACCTCGGCACGACGTACTCGTGCGTGGCGGTTTTTCGCAGCGACGCGGTTGAAGTTATTCCGAACGATCAGGGAAACCGCACAACGCCGTCGTGTGTGGCTTTCCACAATGGTGACGTGTTGGTTGGCGACAGCGCGAAGCAGTTGGCCTCTCGCGGGGTAACAGGTGTCGTGTATGATGCAAAGCGCATGATTGGTCGCAAGTTTGGCGAGAAAACCATTCACGATGACGTGAAACGCTGGCCATTTGCCGTTGAAAAGGGGGAGAACGATGGTGTACTGATCCGCGTTGAGCACAATGGGGAGACACTTCGACTGGAGCCAGAGCAGATCTCTGCGCGAGTACTCGCGTACCTCAAACTTTGCGCCGAGCAGTTCATTGGCAAACGGGTTAAAAAGGCTGTCATCACGGTGCCCGCGTACTTCAACGATGCCCAGCGGGAACGCACGAGGGCTGCCGCACGGATCGCGGGGTTGGAGGTGCTGCGTATTGTAAATGAGCCGACTGCGGCGGCGTTGTGTTACGGCCTTGGCCTTGGCTCTGGCGCCGGTGCGCAGGGCGCGGATTGCCCCGTGAATGTGCTGGTGTTTGACTTTGGGGGTGGGACGTTCGATGTATCCATCATCGCCATTGACAATGGCTCCTTCGCGGTGCGGTCCACGGCGGGTGACACACATCTCGGAGGACAGGACGTGGACACGGAGCTGCTGCGATACGTCCTGAATGACTTGAAGAATCGTCACGGTGTGGATGCAACTTCGCAGCCAAGGTTGCTTGCCAAACTGCTCGCGCGGTGCGAGCAGGCGAAACGCGTTTTGTCTCATGCGACGACCGAGGAGATTGTGATGGACGGCATTCTGACGGGTGGGGAGGAATACGCACTGTCTCTCTCTCGGGCCAAGCTGGAGGAGTTGTGTGCCAAAATCTTTGCCCGTTGCATGGCTGTTGTGCAAAAGGCGATGAAAGACGCCGCGGTAACGCCAGATGACATTGATGATGTCATTCTCGTTGGTGGTTCGTCACGCATTCCTGCACTACGCGTCATGCTGCAGGAGATGTTTAAAGGGAAGCGACTCTGCAGCTCCGTCCACCCGGACGAGGCGGTGGCGATTGGTGCCGCAGTGCAGGCGAGCATCATCAGCACCTCGGCTGAGCAACAGTCCGAAAAGACGGCAAATGTTGTTTTGATGGATGTGGTGCCCCTCTCCATTGGCGTCGAGGTGGATGACGGCAAGTTTGATGTCATCATTCGCCGCAACACCACCATACCGTATTGCGCCACGAAAGAATACAGCACCGTGGAGGACAACCAGGATGAGGTGGAGGTGCAGGTCTTCGAGGGCGAGCGACCGCTGACGCGCCACAACCACAAATTAGGTGCTTTCATTCTGGATGGCATCTCACGTGCCAAGAAGGGCGACCCGACCATCACAGTTACATTCAGCGTGGACGCGGACGGTATTCTCACCATTACCGCCTCCGAGGAACTCGCAAACGTAAAGAAGACACTCATTGTTGAGAACACCGAACGCCTCAGCGACGAAGCGGTGCAGAAGATGATTGAAGTGGCGCAGAAGTTCTCGGCAAAGGATGCGGTGGCCGTGTCTATTATGGACGCAACGCAGCGTCTTACAAGTGGCTTCACAGAACTTGAAACGGCGCTGGCCGCGATGCCACTGCCCCTCTCAAAGAAGTTACAACGGCATGTGGCGTTTCTCACGCACGGCAAACAATGGCTTGAGCAGCAGTTGCCGAACTACACAGAAACGCACGCGGTGGATGTCAAGACAACGAAGATCATGAAACTTGTACAGAAAGCCATGAAGACACTGCAGCGTGAATCCCGCAAGGGAACAGAAAACAACAACGAAAGCGACAGCGGTAGCGATGACGATGACGACACCAATGAGAATGATGGGGACGCACTCGGAGGATCAGGCGGGTCAACACCACGCGACTCCAGTACAGGGAGAAAGCGCATGCGCAGTAATCCAAGGAATGATGAGGGCTAGCCAAATAAATTTTTTTCTTGTGCAGTTACTTATTTATTATTTTTCCGTGCGCAGAATACTTTTTTTTTTGTTTTGTTTTTTGGTTTGGCCCATCCAAAGTGCAGAAAACGAGAAAAGAAACGATGAAATTCACCAGCAGCGATGAGTCGTTTGCTTCAGTGCTTGGCGGGGGGAGAGGGGAGACGATAGCGGCACTCCGTCCCACACGTTTCTTATGTGGTGTTGTCTGCGTGTCGTGTATACCACGGACTGTGGGACGCTCTTTCCTTTCCTTCCTTCTCTTTTTTCCTGCTGTGTTGTGTTGTTGTTTGCAATGTGCACCAGAGCGAAGGAAAAAAAAAAAAAAAAAGACGCGATGGTGAAAAAAACAACGAAGGCGACGGCAGGGCGGCGGAAGGAAGGGGAAAAAACGAAGAAGATGACGATCGATCCGAAATTACACTCCTCGACGTCGGCACCGGCACAACGGCAGCAGCGGCCGTCAAGCAATAAGAAAGAGGCGCTGCAGAAAGCGCTGGTGAGTGCCTTCTCGGCACCACACGTGAATGCCCATTCAGACGCTACCGTGGATGTGGACGAGTACGGCAAGGGTAGTCCGACGGACCGGCTGCAGTTTGGCTACGCCCCTGCCATCGCCGCGGAGGCCATTGCGTTTCATTCTGCCATTCCAGCGAAGAAGTGGATTGCGGAACGGCGCAAGCAGACTTGCATCGCGATTGTCAAGAAACAAAAACTTCCGCGGCCAAACTGCGAGCCTATGACCTCGCTGCTCAAACTAAAGGAGCACTGGAGGGAAAAGGCGCAGTTTGTAGCAGAGTTGCGTGGTGGTGGCGTTGGACAGGACTCGGCGGACGAGCTCCTGGAACTGTTTGTGTCGCAGCAACGTGTAGCGTAGTTGCTACTGTCTGTCCTTCTCCGCTGCATCCGCGTTTAACCCACATAATGATGAATTCTCACGCCGCTTGCAGCTATTTGCGTGTCGGCGCAGGGGGGGGGGGGAGGCGTGATGCTCTTTTTGTTGTTTTTGTTGTTGTTGTTTCCACGTCCATTACTTTTGGGGTCTTTTCCCTCTTTCTTTTATTGACCTTGTTTTTTGTCTCTTTTTTCTTTTTTCTTTTTTTTTTTTTTTTTTTTTTTTTTGCTGTCGCCAGCGGTGGATGGGTTTTGGTGCGCCAAAGAAGAGGGTGGCTTTAGGGGAACCATCGACATGGCAGAGGAGGTGCAGCAGCAGCAGCAGCGAAAAAAAGGGGACGGTGGTGAGGAGGGGAAAAAAAAGAGTCGACGGATCGGGATGGAGTTTCCTCCCGTCAAAAGTCGCGAGGAGATCCTCAACTCTCAGCGGGCGGCAGTGACACAGGAGGAGATACGCCAAGGCATGCAAGATGACATCCCTCCCGTCGTGCGGAGTGTGTTGGAACTTGCCCATCTGATGGTGAGCGGCCACAGCCAGAAGCTGCGTGCCTCCCCCGGATATCAGGGGGGTCTGTTTTACGGCGGTAGCCCTTTTTGCTTCGCGAGCGGTTACCGCGACGGCACACGGCCACGCGATATGGACGACAAGGGGAACCACATGAAACTAAGGGACCCGCTTACATACGGTGTGCTCTCGCTGCCCGTGACAGCCGGCTACCTCTGTGAGATGCATGGCAAAGGCGTGTTTGACCTGCAGGCCCCTCTGGCTCACTATTTACCGGAGCTTGAAGATAAGCTGGATCCCTCTGTGACAGCGCGGAGTATTCTCGCCTTTGATACAGTTGTCGACGACAAGCAGGTGCTGAAGGATGCGGAAGCCCATTGTTTTCGTCCTCTCTTTGCGTGGAACATATGCGCCGCAACTCAGCGTTGTGTTTACAAGCCGATCAGTCAATTTTTTCAAGGAGGATCCGCCAATGCCCTTACAGGACAACAACAACGGGAGAACTACGTGCAATACTTGCGTTCCTCTTCACGTATTCGAGTGGGATTGCGTTCAAGGAGATGGCTATCCCGTCTCAAAGTTTCCCACTTTTCTGTTGCGCTGCTCATTGCAGCTGTGGAGCGACAGCTGGGCGGTATTTCTTTTGAAGAGTCCATTCGGCAGACCGTGTTTGAGCCTGCGCAGAGCCACGGAGCCGGATATGGCCCACCCATGTTGTGGCGTGACCCAAATGAAATGTTCTACCAACCGAGAGGCCTTTCACTGCAGCATCAGAGGTTTTTTCACCCGATTAAGACGGGGGCTCTTGAAAACTGCGGTCCACCGCTCCTGAACGCTTCCATGAATCTATACGCACCTGTGGAGGACTACGGAAAACTTTTGCTGCTCTCCCTTGACGCCGTACGTCATGCGCGGACAACACTGGGGGTTGCGGGAATCACCAAAGCGGGTCCGCATTTTGATTTTGGAGTGGAGTGGCTGGGTGGGGAACAGGAGCGGTGTCAGCGGATACAACTGACGCGACATGTGATGGGAATGGAATACGTTCCGGCGGCATCATCGTTTCGATACAACTGCGAACACGATTTAGGCTGTTTTGGCGTGACCAACTGCGGCACACGAAATGCATGTGTGTTGGCGAACACTCTGTCACGTATGATTCAGCACCTCTTTCTCAAGCATGTTATTAGGAAGGGAGTCGGTGTGATGCGGGGGCCTGACTTGGACAACCCCGCCCAGGAGCAGAGCGAAACCGAGACAAAGTTCCGGAAGATCATCAAGAAGCAGGAATACACGAGCTACTTCAGGAAACACGACACACACAAGCGATTCTAACGACGGGGGGGGGGGGAGTGGTACTGAGTGGTGGTGGGGGGGAAACCGATGAATTTCGTAGCGGAGGGCGAACACAAACAAAATTCGAAGCGATTAAAGAAGTTCCAAACACAAAATTTGGTATTTTATTTTTTGCTGCACTGCTCACCACCCATCCTTTTTGTTGTTGTTGTTGTTATTGTTAGTTTCTTTGTTTTGTTTTGTTTTGCTTTCCGTGCGTGTGCGTTTTTCTTGCCTTTTAGATTAAGACACGACAAGGCTTTCTTCTTGAAAATAAAAACAAAAAATGTGGAAAGGGTTTGTTGTTATCGGCTGTGTCGTGGTGGTGGCGGCGGCTGCGGTGCCGTGGCTACAAAAGGACAAAGAGGTCCCTAATTTCGTGGAACTGAAAGAAGTACGCACAATATTTTTTTCCTTCGCCCTCCAGGAAGCAAATTCGTCATACGACGCAGCAACAGGAGGTTATGTCTGGGGACGTACATTGAAGCCGTTCTACTCCGTACAGCTGCATCCTTTGAACGCCGTTCAAAGCTACACGCAAAAAAAGGAGTTTGTCTGGGTCGGAATTACCGCCGGCCCATGGCTTGTGGGAGTTGCTGTTCTTCAATTTAACTACATTTCTGTTTTCACCGTCAGCCTCTACAATGTGGACTCGGAAGAGAGTTGGAAGGCCATGACCGTCGTGCCGTTACTGGCACCGTGGTTTGGCGGCAGATGGATACCCAATGAAAAGGGTAAGATGGGCCCCACCAGTGCAGGACATCGAGTGGAGTTTCATCCCCCGTTTTCCTCCCAGCGAGCCAGTCTTTGTTTTGAGGATCGCAGCATAAAAGTTGACGTCACGGGCACCGTGTGGCAACAAACGGGCAATGGTACAAGGACAGCGTCGCAGAGGTACGAAGTGCATGCCGTGGCAACCCTCCCTGAGGAATTTCTTGGTATTGTGTTCCCGCTCGGGCCGCGGCGTGCCGCACTCGTAAATAAAATGGCAGCCGCGCCTTTGCAGACGCCTCTCAACATGCGATTTAACGAAAAGGAATGGAGCGGGGAAGGGTATTTTTCTATGGACTACACACGTGGCCTGTTACGTCGCGAGACGCACTGGCATTGGGCCAGTGCCACCGCCTCCGCCGGCTACGGATTTCACCTTTCGGAAGGCACATACGATGTGGATAACAAAAGTGTGGAGAACACATTCTACACTGGCGGAAAGGCTGTGGTGCTTGACACGCGTGTGGAGTTTCGTAGAGTTACGATCGCCAATACAGATACGAAAATGGCTGAAATATGGGCTGTTACAGGAAATGGCATTCACCTTCGTTTTCGCCGTGCCGACGCACATGATGGCGTCTTTCACCTGGGCGTCGTGAACGGCAATTTGGATCACGCATGGGGCATCTTTGATGGCTCGATTTTTGTGGATGGAACGAAGTACAAGTTTGATAATGTTGCGGGTGTATTGGAGGCCCACTACGCGTTATGGTGAATCCGATGTTGTTCCTTATTATGTTTCTTTGCTTCTATGCGCCCCTCTCCCCCTTCTTTTCCCTCTTTCCTCCTTCCTTCGCCCCTCTCTATTGAACTGAACTCCAATGTGCAAGTGACATGCGCAGTAGTAACTCCTGTGGCCCATACACCGGAAACTTATTCAAAAGGAATTATATATACACGGGGGACGCACTTGAAAGGTCTCTTTATTTATTTTTGCGTTTTTTCTTTATTTTTCACACGTCTCCGTGACGTTTTGCTCAAGCATTACATGTCGTTTTAGCGCCTCGCGTCTGCTGTTTTCTTTCTATTTATCTCCTTGTGTGCGTGTGATGTGTGCTTTGAATATTTATTTTAGCTCTTTTTTTTCTTTTTTCTTTTTTTTCTTTTTTCTTTTTTTTCTTTTTTTGGTTTGTTTTTGGGGCAAAGTGTTGGGCCGCGCCTGCGCCGGAGTTGCGAAAAGACGAGCAAAATGGAGTCTTCGCCCTCATCGCTGAATTATCTCCGTGCGGTGCAACAGCTGCAGAAAAAGACGGAGGAGTTGGAAAACGTGCTCGACGAAACGCACCGTCTGGAGCGTGAGAATGCGGCACTCGTGGAGGAGAAGGCAGCGCTGATGCAGGAGGTGGCGCAGCTCGAGGCACAGAACCGCGACTGGCGAGCCGAATTCGGCGTGCTCGAGGATCAAGTGAAGCGCCAACAGCGGCACCTGCAAGAACACATCGAACGAGAAGCCAATAGGCTGCAGGAGTCCAGCGCCAAGTCGCGTGAGAGTGGCGCAGAGATGGGGAGGCTCCAAGAAAGGCTTCGGGCAGCTGAAGAGGCAAGGGAGGAAGGCGCAGCAATGGCGGCGCAGTGCCGCCGTCTCTCACGCGAGGTGGCGGCACTAAAACGGGAGCTGAAATCCGCCAAGGCGAAGGCAACACATTACCACTCTACACACGCACGCACTGCAGCGGACAGTGCCGCCATGGAACAGATCGAGAGCAACGCGCTGGAAGGGGTGAGAAGTGAGATTGTATCTTTTGCGGCGGAGAACGAACGACTAATCAATGAGTTGGAGGCGGAGCGCAAGGCACGCGTGGTGGCAGAGGAGGGTGTTGCCAACCTGCAGCAGTTACTGCAGCGACAGCGCGAGGTGAGCGATCAGCAGCAGCAACTCGCCAAAGAAGAACTGCGGGCACTCAACGCGCAGAACGATGCTCTTTTGGAGGATGTCAAACTTCTGATGGAGCGAGAGGCTGCAGGCAGGAGTGACGTCTTTGCGTCGGGAACCGATGCCGCACCCCACCGGCGCGTGTCAACTGTGGACCGCGGCAGTATGACGACAGAAGTGCCATATGCTCCCCTCTGGTCGCCGTCCGCGCAACGAACAGGGGGCATTCAGCCCGTGAAACAGTACCCGGCCACAGTGGATGACGGCATAAGCACGACCACCGCGCAGGCACAAGTCCGGGAGCTGATGGAGAAGGTGCGTGACTTGGAGAGCAAGACGGCGGAGCAGGCGTTTCTCCTTCGTGAAAAGGAGGCAAACGAGCGCCTTCTTGAAGAACGCGCAGCACTCCATGCGGAGGAGCGACGGCACCTTCGCTCTCTTCTTGAAAAGGCGGCGACGCCGGAGAAGGCTAGCGAACGCTACGAGAGTAGTCACATTG